TTTCGTTTTGGACTCTCAGACTGTTGTTTCTCTGTGGTCCATCCCTAGGACAACAACCATTTATGTTCACAAAATTAAGGGGTTGTTGCAACTGCCACCATCACTGATGTATATCCTCTTAAATTAGCTTTTCTTCCAACTGTTCAGGAAGTGTTGTGTGACTTGCCTTACATCGGAGAGGAAGACATGCAGGGTAGACAAACTCGGCTTCAAGTCTGTGCTGCTAGCTTTCTTCTCAAATGATCTGTCCATGTCCATGTTTAAAATGGGGAAAATAATGCTATCATATTTCACAGAGTTATTATGCTGTATACTCCATTGTCTAGCTGATTTGGTAACAGAGGCCATCTAACCATTCACAGAGACTTTTGTCAAGCCGCCTTTCTCTGTATGTCTTTTTCCAAGCTATGCATTGTGTAAGGTGCTTCTGTAAATCAACCTGACTAGAGAAGTAAGCATTTGAAACTTGTGTCTATTTTCTTGCAGGGCTTGTAAGTACTGCCATGACATCAACACTGCTGGGAACAAAAAAGTCTTAAAGAACCATGAGCTGTCTGGTCTCAATGAGTACGAGCTGCGAGTCCTGCTTCTCCAAAATGACCCTTTCCTCCTCCCTGATGTGAGTTGTACTGATTTCTTAAAGGAAATTTTTGTTAGTTAAGAATGGGAAAGGACAAGAAAGAAGGTGGAGATCTGATCTAAATGTCAAGCTGTTAAGATTTGTAACAGATATGTTAAGATTAGTCTGAATGACGTGTGAATAGGAACAGCTGTACATGAAAGCACTAGAAGAACCAATATAGAGCAAGGGTTATAAAAATGGCGTATATTGCTAACTAAAAGCATGACAGCAGTAAAACTGGAAAACACCGAGCAGTGTGCTGTTTACATCAAGGCCAGGAGGCCCACCCTCTGATAATGCCACATCACATATGACTAGTCAGCAAAAGACCTTCCCTCTGACAGCAGGAAGTTGACAATAAGCAGGAAGTTACAGCATGTTTTGTGTATCTGTTATCCTGACTGGAAGACAGACAATAATGTTATACAATACAAGAAAAGAACAACAAAAATGTTAGCAACTTCACCAAGGGTTTACAGAGGGTGATGTAAGCAAGACTGAGGTGAAAAATCACAATAATTTTACTGGGTTAGAGGGTATAAAAGACCTGTCCAAAACCAGTTTGTTGTTTCTTAGCAGTAATGTTGGTTCTTACCCAGGAGATGATGAAGACTAGAAAGCCAGCGTCCCTTTCCTTGGCCAGACTACATAGGCCTGCACATTTTGGTGTTTGGGAGTGTGAGAGAGTGAGTGAAATCTATGAGAAAATGACCAAGTGACTGTAGTAAATTTTGTGTAAAATTATCTCCTTCCAAATTCTTGCACTGAGTTTCAGTTAATTTCTCACATTAATTTCCTACAAAGCAACCTTTTTTTTTTTGTTTGTGTGCAAGTACTGATGTTGTTAAATTTGGCTAAACCATCTAGTTTCAGGTTCTGTGCCGGTGCATAATGGCAATGCTACCTTCAAGGTAGGGCTCTTTCTGCATCCTGTTCCACCTACAGCTGGTCCTGGTTAAGAGATTACCACAGTGCTGCTTGTTACCATTGTCTTTTAGAGGTTATAAGCTCCTCATACTGTTGGATAACTGTTGGATATATTGTGTTACTCCTTTCTGTCACAGTGCAGGATTTAGACAGAGTAAATCAATTTTTGTAGCGTTCTGTAGCTTTTTAAAATCAATTTTTGTAGTGTTTAAGTTGTGCTGGCAGATTAAAGGAGTGTGGAGATGGTGAATAAAAAAGGATTAGTAATGTCTTTCTCCAGCTCAGCTACAGCTAAAACTTAACTGTTTCTTAATTATTTCCAGTAAAGAGCAGGTAGCAGCAATCATTGTTTATTGGTATAACTGTTAAGTGTCTTATCTATAGGTCTGTTCAGCTCTCACTGCTGGAAGCCATCGTTAGTTGCCTCTAATAGAGCAATTAAACTATTATGGAGTAAAATAGTAAAAACAGTGAAAAACACTTCAGATGCAGGCCACTCATGAACTCAGGTTCAGGAACTGGGGGCAGGGAGGGGTTGAAGTCAATTTAGCTGTTTCTTGCTTAGAAATGCTGGCTGGATGTGTGTGCGCTGATGTGTGGCATGTATGGACGCCTCAGGCAAAGGGAACTTTTGTCTTTTGTGAACTAGGCTGGTGTGCAGGGACAGAAATCAGGATTTTTAACACTTTCCCTACCTACTGTCTGGCCCTCCTTTTTCTGTTTCCTGGCAAATGCAAGGGGCAGCCTGCTTTCCTGGTGCAGCTGATGATGGATGACAAGTTTAACTGAGGCAGCACTTTGTTGCGGTTCAGTAGTTTATTCTGAAGTTCCCAGGTAAAAACTCAGTCCTGCATACTAACATAAGTGTCTTACAAATTTTCCCCTAGATGCTCTACAAAAATAGCCTCAACCTCACTGGGTGTCTTTCAGTCCCTGGGAGTCTCACTTTGTAATTTACGTGGCTGGTATCTCCAGAAACCCTAGGTGATATTTTGTGTAATGGATGTTCCATACAAAATGGTTGTATTTTCAGTGCTCTCTCCAGCTTTTAGCTGCTTCTGTAGTTCAGCTGCTTTTCTTTTTTGCTCTCTTGAGCAGGAAGACATGCCAGCAAAAAAGCAGTTGATGTGCTCTAGCTCCCAAAAATGATATCTGAAATAAGGATCTTAGGCATTTCTTGCTAGTTCTTAAACCAGCTTTAGGCTGCATGGCCAACTGCTCTCTGCTTCTGGTTTTGGTTGGCAGTGTTCCTGGAGAGGGAAGTACCCAGAAGGAAGGAGAGGACATTGAAGATAAGGGAGAGAGACTGGGTTGGAGGAGTACCTGTTAAGAAGGCACTGATCTAAGTTTTTTTTCTATAAATACCCACAGACCTATATTACACCTTCAAATCAAGGAGCTACTGAATAAGTTTATATTCCAGCTCTTAGCTGGTGCTTCATCACCTGTCTCGAGTGGACCAACTGTTTGTCTCTTCAACTCTAACTTGAACAGTGTTCTCCACTTGGAGCAGTGGGAAAGCAAACTGCATTTGTAAAGTTTTAACTTTTATTTTTAGGTAGGTGTTCAGATGCGGCACATGCATTTCAGATGAAAGTTATACTTTGAGTGGTATCAGGATCCCCAAAACAGCAATATTTCTGCTGAGGAAGACCAGCCCTTGGCATTGGTGTGAGGTTTGAGTTCTTCAGTGGCTGAAGTTGCAGAACATCTCCTAAAAGAGTGTTTATCGTGGCTTAGCACTTGCATTTGCTCATGATCAATTGATCTTAGAGGGCTTTGTAGAAGATGAGCCTTTCCACATTCTGCTTGAAGAAAGGTGGGAAAATGGAGGAGAAAGAAATAAGGGGACTTACCTGAAATCATGGAGTAGATAAATGATGCATTTATCTACCATCAATGCACGAGACTGCATTGGCAGGGAGAAATCCTATGCAACTTTAACTTTGTTAGGCCTTGCAGCAATTAAGCAACGTTGCAAGACAGGTACCAGATGCTCATCAGCCTGTGGTTTCGTTTTCAGAATGAATGTAAAGGGTTTTCTTCCCCCCCGTCATTCTGCACAGCCTATTGTGTGCTTGCATTGGGGAAAGCAGCTGTAGGCAAAGCCTGTTGCACCCCTGGAGTAGACACACATTGAGGTAGATCAATTAGTACTTGCTTGCCTCCAACCCACATGTAAGAAGACTAAAATAGCATAACCAGCAACAAAGTGTAAGCATTTTGTAACATTGTAACACTACTAAAAGCATTCAGTAATCAGCTAGGCTTAAATGTATACATAATAGCCATAAGCACAAATGGAGGGTTTTGATACAGTTGCAAAAACATGGTGCAGGAAAGCATGTAGAAGCAGTAAAAACTGCAAGGTATCTGGTACAAGTGAAATAAAGTATCTGGTAAAACTGAAATAATCCTGCAGAGCAGGCAGGAAGGGTGTCTGGTGGAACCAGATCAATCCACCAGAATAAGCAAAACCAGAAGCCCTGATCCCAAAAATATGATGTCAAGATGAGATCACTCCCTTTCCTTTTAGGGAGGGGGTAGAGGCATCCACAGTGAGAGAGGAAAGATAAGGAAGAAAGAAGACAGGCCACTTCAGTTCCTGCTTCCCTCAACAGCTAAGAACCATCAAGGACTTGTAGCAGTTAGTGATCATTAAATGGCATCAGTTATGTGGTTTTGTGTGCTCACAGCCAGTATAGGATAAGTTTGTTAAGGACTGTTGTAAGACAGTGCAAGCTCCCAGCTTGCACCCAGGCAATCCACTGACCCACAGCCATAGTAGCTGAAGCAGAGGGTCAGATCTAAATCTTCAAGTGTTATAGGGTAAGGTTTACTCTGCTGTGCCTAAGGATGAGTCAGACAGGAGCTGTTAGCAATAAAGAGGAGTAAATGGGCTTGATCAGCAGCCCATCTCAAATGCTTCTGAATCAATTGGACACGCTTGGTGCCAGCTCGGGGACTGTTAACAGCTACGGGATGGAAACACATGATAATGCAATTCTCCTTCCAGGCGTGATGATACAGTCTCCTTCTGTGGACACCTCCCAGTACTCAGAAAGAGCTAGGGGAGAGCTTCTGTTAGCTCTCCGTGATTCTGCTCTGGTTAGGATCTCTAAGATAATGGTTCTCTGGAGGCTCCATTTTGTTTCCAGGAGAAAAAGCCCTTTGCTACTCCCCTGACTCAGGCTAGGAGTGACAGCAATCTTTTATTCTCTGCCAATACTGCCCTAAACAGAGCTCTTAAGCCGAGACCCTTTTGTTAACACATATAAATCTAAAAAGACTCAGTTAGAACCAATGCAAGTTTTTCATATAAATATGGGGTCTGGATATAGCAAGGAGGTGAGAGAAGTAGAAGAAAAGAAAGGAAGGAAAGCAAGCCAGCCCAACCCCAACACCAGGGGCCTTGAATCCACCCGCCACAAAATTTAAGGACAGGTATAATTCTCCTTACTTTATGCAAAAGAGAAAGTGAAGGTCTCTGTCCCACACTACTTCTGTTTTCCTGATACTCTCAGAGACTTCCATCTTTCATCAGTCATCCTTGCTGTAATTTTCTTTCCTCTAAATGGTAATTGGGTAATCTACCAAATGCTGGGGGACCCCTTTGTCAGAGGGGTTCCTGGGGATAGAGCCCCTATTTGATAAAATTGAGAGTGGCTAAATTAACAAAGGATGGGCTCAAAGATATAATTCTTTGTTTGTAGTAGAAATCTTGTTTTACCAGTAACTATTTTTAAGGAACGCTATCACAAAATATGCATGCTTGTACTTTCATGTTCCTGTATTTTATTTCTGTCAGTAAGAATCTGAATTTATGAATATCATGGTCTCTGTGTGTGTCTCATTAGGAATTTTGACCTTTGCCTTTGTGCTTGTTACCCTTGACCTCACAGATCACAAATGTGTAGGCATCATTTGAACTAATTTCCCCAAATCAGTTTTAGTTTTGCACTGTAGCTGAGCGTACAGGATGCTCTTAGTCACGTGCAAGAGCCCTGTACATAACACTATTTATTTTGTACCTGTATTGATACTGACTGATAGTGATTAAGAACTAACCTTTGACAATGTTTTTGTTAATGAATATCAATCCAGTAAAGATTTTTTTGAAATTTGAAACTGGTCTGAATTACCAGTCTTTTAAACACTGCCGTCACACTGATGTCTAATTCCCTAATTGATATATACATCTATATAGATATTCAGTTGCAACACAGCATAGAAACTATCTCTCTTGCTTGGAAGGGGGGTTGGAGGTGGGGTCTGTAGCAGTTCCTATATGATGTTGGGGCTGCCTGCAAGAAAGCTGTGTGTCTTCCTCAAAGCAGCTTTGTTCCAATAGGCTGCTCCTCTGTGTTGCTGGAGCGGAAGTGTTGCTGTCGTGCTCAGTGGGGAATACAAAGGGGTTTTTGATGTGTGGTTTCTACTCTGGGTCCAATTCATTGCATATCTCTTGTTTGGTGAGCAGAGGAATAAAAAAGTGCAATGCATTTCCATGTGTACTCTAACCTACAATATACTTCATATCATTTTGAGAAGTTCCGGTCTTCAGTGCAGAGTTTACAAATAGGGACCTCTGCAGTTTCCTCTCCACAAAATAACACCTCATGTGACACACGATAAATGTTTTCAAGGGTGGGCTTGTTCTTCTTTGTCTTTATTTTATATATAGAATAACTGTAAATTGGTTATTATGAGAAAAGCTATCTGGCTCAGAAGTGCCAGAAATGAATGCTTGCTGGATCAGCTCTGTTCTTTTTCTTTGAAACAACTCTGTGCAGCTTCAAAAATGCGTGAGTCAGCTGAAAATGCCTACTCTTCCCCACAAGAAATCTGCCCAGTTACAGAAATTACAATGAACGTACGCCATTTAGTCACAGTTTTTCTACTGTTGAAATTGTATGCATATAGAATGAATTTTAAAAATTACTGATTCTAACACTCTTTTTCAATTCATATTGCATCTTTCCTTCCTGCTTCTAGGTATGTCAATTTTACAACCAAGGGAAAGGCACCTGTGCCCAGCAAAACAACTGCAACAAGCTTCATGTTTGTCGACATTTTCTCCGAGGGGGATGTAGATTTCTTCCATGCAAGAGGTCCCACAACCTCCTGAATACCCATGAGTTGCATGTATTGGAAGCTGGTGGGATTGATTTAAAGACAGCTTCGAAATTCCAGACTATATGTGATCACAAGCACGTGGAATTCAGCAAGGAACTGAAGAAGGCAAAAAGTAAGTTTTAAGAAATACTTAATGTGTTTAAATAGGATTCTGAGTTTGACAGAGGTAGAAGCCATTCTTTCCTCACCTCACAGCTAAACCCATCATCCTTTCTGCGCTTTTAGTGCTAAAGCACAAACCGAGATAAATTGGAGGGAAAATTGGAGTAGTGTAGGAGGGAGAGCTGTATTACTGTTGCATAAGCTATTACATGCAAAATCACTATTGAGTAACCACTGATAATTGTGACTAGCTGGGATTTACAACTGTAACTACTAATCTGTTATATCAGCAGTAAATGATACAAGTGTGATGGACTTGATCCTCAACACACAAATCAGTATGGCACCAGCTAGCTGAGGATCTAATCTGGCAATGCTGTTCATTCAGTCTTCTCATGCAGGTTCCAGTAGCAATGCACCTGGTCAGAACCAACACCAGCAGCCAACAGGAGCGGGAGATAGCGATAAAGGTATGGATTGTTTCTGACCCTCCAATCTTCAGAGCAGTGGTGCTCAGTGGAACTTGGTGTTGTGCAGCCATACAGCTCCCCGTAGTTGTCAGAGCAGCTTACGTGCTTACACTAGGATATGCTGGAAGCCATAGTACTAGTCAGCCTGCAGAGAAGCACTGAGATTTCCGCTCAAGCATTGGGCAGCATGGCATACGTGATCCAGTCTGAGGAGTAGTCTAGGATTGATCTCTGAACTGTTCTGGATGCAATGCTTTCTTCTGTGGGTGGGAGACAGAATTGTACCTCTGTATGTGGTATTTTTCCTAACCTTCTCTCTCCAAAGAATGCATTTGTCTGTACCATTGTCAAGTTCAGAGGTTATCCTGACATATGTTCCAGTGTGTGAACAGGAACCATTAAATCTCCTGTCCTCCCAAGGCAGAAGGCCCACCGCAAGAATTAGGGCTATGCAGGGACAGTCATGTCCTGAAAGCTCTTATCTTGGCTGCTGCAATTAACGCCTTTTTTTGGTTGAAATGCCAAGTGCAGCGTCTTTCTCTTGGAATTGTTTTTGGCAGGGGAAATACGCACTGATATGTTCCTTCTTGTAGGTAAAAAAGATGATTCCTCTGTTAAAGATTCAAAGGACAACAAAGTAGACAAGTGTGATGAGATATGCTTGTTTTATGTCTGGAAGTACTGCAAACATAACGGTAAGCCTTATCAAAAGTAATGTTGTCTTTGGAGAGCAGTGTCTGCAGAGGCACAGCCTTTTTGATGGCTCAGACTAGTGGTGGAATTTGGAGCACTGGCACTGGCAATTGTGCTGTCTCATTGATTCACTTTGATTCCAAGTCAGTAATGAACAGTGTCAGAATTGCAAAGATAATTAGAGGAAAGTCAAGTGGATACATATAAACTCTCTGTAGATGACCCATTTATGGCCAGTTTCAGTTACGCTGAGGAGACAGGCCTTGTGCACGTTTCTGTGGCAAGAACCCTTCAAGTGTTAATTGTTACACTTCCTGTGAATATTAGATCAATTTAAGAACTGATCTTACGCTGTCACTAGTGATGATCGATAACAATATATCATCTTTCATTCCTGTCCAAGATACGTCAGATACTAGCCATATTCAGTTCCCATTATATGCTTTTAAAAGTAATCTGAGGTGGAATAATATCTTAAGAATACACAGTAGCTGTACCATCTAAGCTAATGATGGATCTAGTCCATCTCATGTCTGGCAGTGGTCAATAACTGGGCTCCATGGGAATGAGAGATGTGGTGGAGTGACACACAGACATCAACTTCCTTTCTGTGGCATTGCTCTCCCAGCTGCCAAGCCGGTGTCTCGGTGAAGAGAAGGTCGTTGTTTCTTTGAAATATACTTGGCAATATGAGAGCTTATATTGCTTTCCTAGGAGCGACTGCAGAAACATACCCCATTTATTCCAATATATCTCTAGTTTCAGTCTAGAGAATCTTTATTGTTCCCAGCAAAGTTCAGGAGATGAGGCCAAAGAAGAGCATAAAATGTGCTTGCTCCTTTTTTTGTGTCTCATCTTGCTCTCAGTTTGTGTTACGATTGCAGAGCTCTTGACTATATTTGATCTCATTGCAGATAGTTGCAGACAGATTCATTACCATTTGCCATATCGATGGCAGGTATACAATGGGATCACTTGGAATGACCTTTCCATGATGGAGGAAATTGAAAAAGCCTATTGTGACCCAAAAAACAACAGGTATAATAATGATGGCAGGACTGCTTGCTTCAAGTGCTGTGGTGTGGTTGACCCCCTGAAGAATGGATTTCTTCTCAAAGATGCCTAGCTTTCATAATCTCTGATTATTGAGGTGTTCAGAAGCTGGGAGGATGTACAAAATGAGAGCTGTTCTTTAAAAACAGAAAAGTAAAAGAAGTAATGAAATGGAAATATCACCCAATTTTTGTCGTTTGTAGAGAAACATGTCAATACTTTGCACTTAAAACTATACATAGGGTAGTAAAATGTGGGTGGAATTACATGCTGAGAATTTATGGGCAATATTTTAGATAATGAATAATAATTTGTTTGTAATAATTATTTTGGGCCTCTTGACAACAGTTGACATAATGGCATAGTCATTTCGGCCCTTGCCTCTCCAGGCAGCAAATGATTTTGGTTTGCTGCTTGAGTAGGCTGCTGGATGGTGCAAATCACAAGCAAAATTCCCAAGAGGAGGCTGCTTTCAAGGTCTTCCTGTCTGAGCTTTCAAGCTTCCCAGAAGTAAAAGCCCATGCAGCTCAAGCCATGAATGCTGTCTATGAAACTCACAGCTGTGGATGCATCCTGTAACCACAGAAAAAGAACAAAGTTAATAAGCTGCAGGTGTTTGCTGGCAAATTCAAGTCAAGTACTTACCAACTTTGTTTTTTCTACTGAGAAAAACTGTAACCACACTGCTGTGTGCATTTATTTATTGCAAAAAAAGCCTTTTGCCACATTATGCGTGCAGCCTCAGACTGTCTGGAAGGTCTGGCTAGAGATGGAGATGGCATTCAGTCTCTCGCCACAATTCTGAAGACTGGAAGCAATTTTCAGAGCTGACATGCATGCTGTGGAAAAGTGTTCTTATTTTAGGCCTAAATAACTTCAGGCAGTCACATTATATTAAAGAGCATTGCTCCAGCCTCAACCAGGTATTAAAGAATAAAATGTGCACTATTAAATTCCCTAAACCTCTGAATTTGTCCTTACAGCATAGCTGATAGGAACATTAATTTCCAGACAATGACTTGTGGTAGTTCTTCACTTCGACGCCTTTCTACACCATCATCTGTGACAAAACCCACATTTGTATTGACCACACAGTGGATTTGGTATTGGAAAGATGATCAAGACCAGTGGATTGAATATGGAGGACAAGTGAGTCCACATCCTGTACATGGCTACCTCATCCTGTGCTTTGAATTGCTCCTGAAGCAACGTGTGACACCTAGTTCCCTCACACCCCTTTAGCCAAGCAAGGTTTATTAAGTAAATACTTGTGCTTGTATTCCACAGTGTCAAACAAGGTAGTGAAGCTACAGATGTTCATAACAGATGTGATTAAATGATGGCAATGTGGAAGGGCAGGAACATGCCTGATCTTTATACTGAGGTTAAATACCAGCAGTTGTCCCTACTTGTAACTGGATGACTTGTTACAATTGCTTTACTGACAAAGATCATGTTGGGGAATGCAGGAAAGCAAAATTCCCTCCCTTCATCAGACTACGTGCTGGCTTCTCTAGTCAGACTCCCTTTTGGAGTTGTCCATGGCTTCTACACAGATTTAACATGTACACCTGTCCTTGAGATACATTGCTTTCTAATTTATTCAGAAAGTAGTCTTGCCTCTCTCTTAACTAAGCATTGTCCTGCTCCCTGGGAGATGAGTAGATGGGGGGAAGAGGGGATTGCTCTCTCAGATCAAGTGTTATCTTTGTCTTGGGTGGCCAGATCCTCCTTAATGGGGGAGTAATCTGTCTGAACAATGCGGGAAAAGAAATAAAGAAAGAATCTCTCCTTCCCAGGCAGATCAGTTCCCCCTATCCAGTTCACAGTGTAGCCACACAAATTCTTGTGCTGGCAGAACACAAGGATGATCCAGAGGAAGGGAAAAGTAGGCAGGGGAAGAAGGTGAGTGCATTAGTTCTGGCAGTGGTGGGCCTTGATTTCCAAAGGCAGCTTAAATGGAAAGCATCTCCATCAGCATACTCTCATATTTTACATTGTTTTGTACTCTAGTGAACTACCCCTGCTATAGAAATCTAAATGGGATACATGTGTGTACATCATTACTAATTATATATTTGTCTGTATGTTGTGAGTAGATGGTAATCACACTTTAGGCCACAGTAGTTCTGGGTGGATTCCTCTTCATCCTTCTCTTCCTCTCTTCTTTCCCTCTACCCAAATGAAAGAGGGGGGGAAAAAACAAAGGGAAAACCCCAGTGTTGCCCCTTGGTTTCTGTTGCAGGACGTTTGCATGTGTGGTTATTCCTAATAAAGACAGCCAGGAAAGGAGAACAGAAATTCTCTGCTATGTGCAACAATGTTGATTCCCTAGGCATTTATTGATATGGTTGAAATGCGAGGCTGTTGTTGATCTGTCCTTACCAGTCTTTTCTCTCTCTATCCCCCTCTGCTCTTTCTGCTGTATCCTGCCTCATCTTGTCTTTCTTCCTCTGGATCTGCCTCTTATGGCACTTAGCCAGCAGAAGAGGTCCTAAAATCCAAGAGTCTCATTGTCCTCCCTCCTATGAGGCTGCACCAAAACAGCTCGCTTTGTGTCCTTACACAACTCCTACATGAGTCTTCATGTGTCTAATGTGTGTGTCTAACCTTGAGGTCTGTCTTTCCCCTGGATGCTACAATCTTAACCACATCTGAATAGGAGATTCTTACTGTTCTCACTCATGTCTGCATGTCTTTTGCCTTCATACTTTTTTCCTTTCCTTTTTTTCTCCTCTTTTATGTCTTTTGGCCTTAAGTTAGCTATGTCCAGGAATCCGACATTTTATTTATCTGCTTATGCTTGTGTGCACTGTATCATTTTCACTTGGAATTCACCTTTGGAATTTGCTTTTGAGTTATCATTGTATTGATAAAAACAGTTATCCAATGTTTAGTCCTGACCATGTTTAGTCATTATTCTTTTCTCTCTCTCTTTCTCTCTCTCTCTCTCTCTCTCTCTTTTTTTATCCTATAGGGAGAAGGGGGCAACATGAACTCACTACCCTCTGATATTTTAGAGAATTTATATCTAGCAGATCCAGATGCTACTATACCTTTCCAGACTGACTTGCATTGTTACGAGCTCAATTTTAAAGGTATCGTTCTTGGTTACTGCTATGCAGTCCTTGACAAAGACTAACTTGCAAGCTATCCCAGTCACCTTCTTTCACTGACTTTACCAGATTCACTCCCTGGAAGGAGAAGTGAGGTAGTGATGGCCCAGAGGAAATTCCTTACAAAACTGTCATTCCCCTTACTCCTTTACTCTATCCAAGCTCATATAGGAGCAGAAATCAAGTGATACTGCACAAAGTCATGATAAACTTCTTTAAGTAAAGTCAGGTAACCCTATGAATGGTAAAATTGGAGTAACTTTTAAAGAACATTAATGTGTAAGGGAGCAAACAAGATAGGCACAGGTTTAAAAAGGGATTTATAGGGAAGGGCAGGAAGCTTGCACAGGCTTTATATAATTGTTCTTCAGCAGACAGGATCGACAAAAAAATGCCATTTTTCATTAAGGAATACCTGCTGTCTTTAATGAATAACTCCACCTCATTCATGACTTTTTCTTTTTCTTTCCCTCCTCTCCTCAAGAAATGATCCAGACAAATACTCGTTTTAGAACTCGAAGACAGGTCTGCAGACGACCAAAGTTTGTGTCTTCTGAAGATGTGGACAAGATAAAGAAAGGGTAATGATGCTTCTAAATTGTTGTCATTTTTCAGAAGTATAGGCAAATGGCTGTCACAAATGACTATAAGGCAAAATGGCTGTCACTGTTGGCAGTAATGCAGTAATTTTGCAAAGAATGCAACTGTTGCTGGAAGAAAACCTATTCACTTGATTGAACAGAAGGTATACCGTGAACTGCCTGCTTGGTGCATCACCTGGTTTCTGGGAAAGATGTTACTCCATGTACCCCTATCTGCAGGGTTTGGTGAGGGACAATTGTTTCTTAAAGAATCAAATGGAAGAGGACTGACAACTGAATGACAGCATGCAAAGCCCAGGTCACAGAATAAGTCTGTTTCCCAGTTTCTTTGTGGGATATGGAGGGTTGGGGGTGGGGAGGGAGAGTGTCAGTATTTTGAGGGGGAGGTGTAGGAACTGACCAAAGGGGATGCTGCCGATTTGAAAGCTTAGAGTAGGACTAGAATTAGTAATATCTTCTCATTTTTCTTCTGTTTGCAAACAGACAAAGGGATTCTTCTATTCCAAATCAAACCTGTCCTGCCTACTGGGACCAATCAGCACTACCTGAGTTGGGATATAAGGTATCTTTTTTTCCCCGCCTTGTAATTCTGATGAAGAGGCGTGATACAAAGGGGGACACTATTTAAGTGAAGCAGTCACACCTGATAGCTGATAAAAAGGCACAAGAATGGTTTCTTGGGTGATCTAGATGATTCCCTAAGAGCTTCTGAAAAGCTGCCAAACTCTTGTCCATTTCATCTGCATCTTTAAGTATCTATCTGCATGCAAAAACACAAATTCAACACAGAAAAATTCAACACAGTTAAAAATGTAGTAATGGCTTGACTAAGACAGGTGGACCAGTTAAGCAAGTGGATTCTATGAAGTGTGTATTTCTTCACTAGAAGCTGGGCTGACATAGACCATTATAAAGCCATCCAATAATAATAGTGTGATGGTTGCTGATGAATAAGGTTTGGACCCTTATTAGAAAAGGGAATCTCTACATGCTGTAGAGAAGACACTCTGTGCTGTCACACACATCATAGATCTGAGCACAGACCATAGCCTCAAGGAATGGAAGAGAGAAAAAACTATTGCCAATAGTATCTATCTATATTTACAGTGATCTCTTAATATAGTTACATTGGAAAATATTTGCAGTGATCTCTTAATATAGTTACATTGGAAGTAGTGTGAGAACCAGAAATATCACTTCTTAGCTTCTGTAAGCTGACTTCTGTTCTGCTTTGTACTGAATGTTTTGTTTTACCCTATCTACTCTCTTCTACTGGATTATGCCTTACTCAGTGGAATACCAGTATCTAGCACTGTGTGTGTGTGTTCAACAAATTCATCTAAGTACTGTTCTGCTGAAAAATCAGTAGGTTAATGTGCTCTGTAGGTCATTTGCTCTGTAGATTAGCTCCCTCCAAGTAGCTAAAATCTGTTTTTCACAGTTAGCCAAAAAAGTATTTTTTCCCGATTGTGTTAGGTACCTAGCACCTGCTGATTTAATTAATAGGAGTTTGTGTGGGAATCTGGCACCTACACCTTTTTTAAGATTTGGGCCCTTTGGACCCTAATCTTTTGAGCTGTGTCATCATAACAAAGGAGAGAGCTAACTGGCACTTCTTCCTCTTGGCGTATCAGCAGCATAATTCCAATTTAAGCTGAAAATTTTCAAAGGAATGCTAGGAAGTCAAGTACTTCTGTTTATTTTAGACCTCTGAGTTGCGTGCACTTCCTCCTTCCCTTATTTTCTCTGTAAATTTCAGTCTAAATTTTAGTTGAGTCCATTTGTTTCGGTATCTCTGAAGTCACTGTGGTGAGTGAGAGGCTTAAATACAATTGTAATTTGATGTACGATCCATGGTATCTCTTGTACTTGGGATATGTGAAATAGAAGGATCATCTTGTTTCTCAGAGCCCAGTTTGCTTGCTGACTTGGCACCTAAGAGAACCATTTCTTCATTTGGAAGCTGAGAGCCTTTGATGTGAAAGGAGAAGTTAATTCTGTATCTAAAAAGTGACAACACCAGTAGTACCTTTTAGAACTAAAAAACAAAGCCTAGGCTAGATTAAGTGTTGTCTCTGGGACCCTAAGCATATTTTTTTGCAGTAGGCGGTATTGGGACTGGCTGCGATTCTGGATGCATGTGGTGACCATCATAACATCTGACCATTACAACTTGATGAATTCCCTTCTCTTCAAACACTGGCAAATAATCCTGGCAAACTTTGCTGCGCAGGAAGTGATCAATTTAAAAAGGAACATCTATGAAATAGGGAGAAACTCTTCCTTGTTTAAAAAGAGCAGCTCTGCTTTGGTAACATTGCTTATTTTATGTGATGCAGTGTGTTAATCTCTAAACCATTTAGAATCATAAACAATTTTATAGCGTAGAGTATGTGAAGTACATGTTAGACATTGGTAGCACCAATTGGAAAACTGCTGTGAATCCCTTCTGTCTTTGTTTAACAGACCAAGTGGAATTAGTAGTTGATACGCCTTTAGTCTTGGAACTTCATGCTGTGTACTAAATCCTATCTTTAATGAAGAACTGAGAAACGTGTGCAACAAAGGCAGTATGCTTTTATGTCAGCAGATTGCTCCTTGTGTGACTGCTATTTTGCTGAATCCTGACGTGCATGCCAAAGATTGCCGTGCTGTAACAAGAATGGGAGTTGAGGTATCAGAAAGAGTCTAGCTTTGTACTTCATAAACATTAGCCCTACTTGGGTCAACTCAACTAATATGGGCTGTTCTGCTTCCAAGACCTATATTAACCAGAGATCAAAGTTTGCTATCACTTCGTAGTGTCCTGTGCAGTCATGCCCTAATATAAAATGACTGGTGGAGCAGTATTTCTTTCTCTGCTTTAGAAACTCCCCTCCTTGATAGTGGGTTAGCAATGCTTATTATCTCTAGGATTTTCCTTGTTAAGACTAAAGGGGAAAAGTGCTAAAGAGGTTGCCTTATGTTATTACGAAGTATCAAGCTGAAGTAACAATGTGGCATTCCCTTTTATTAGCAGGGGATGCGTCTCTGAGGAAATAAGAATGAACCCACAAAGTTTGGTGCAAGAGAACTGGCTTTGTTGCTTGGGAACCATCATACTAGAAGATAATTAAAGTACCGGTCTTGCAGGATCAGGCCTTGTACCATGTGGCTGACCCTCTTTTTTACCCAGAAAGGTGACAGTTCCTCAGCAGAAGATGCAAGATAGCAAAAGCACATTTTTGTAGTCTAAATAAGAACTTCTTATGTGTAATTAAGACATGTAGTACTGAAATATATTGATATAATTTTCATTTGATAGGTGATGGTGAAGAAATTGATCTGTGGTATGACAGAGCATGCAAGTAATGAATCCTCACTCATACAAATTGATTGATGTATTGCAAAATGGCTTTGCAAAATATTCTTGTATAGGAAATACAATACTACATGGGAAATATCATTCAACTTTGTAAAAGCTTTCTAATAAATCCAAAGAAGTAATTCTTCCTTGTGCAGCTGACTTTATTCTTATAATTCTTTATATCCTTATAAGACTTTCCTACGATAGGCCTCTTCTTCATTCAAGTATTTAATGCACAAACTGGACATGGTGTCTGGAAAAAAACTTTTTCGTTTATATGCAGCTGTGAGGTGAAGTCCTATTTTATCCTCTATAAACTCATTTTGAGTTTGGAGGAGTGGAGTTTGTGACAGATGGGTTAAGGTGTAGGTTTCATGTTAATAGGATGACCACAGTTTTCCTTCCTAAAATACATCTTTGATGCATGGGATGTTGGGCTTTTCACTTTAAGTCATCTTCAATCCTACTTGGCTTAGGCAGCAATAAACTGAAATGTGTTGCTAAATGACATCTGTCTGCCAGCGTTCTGCATTTTCAATCTAGTTTACAGAAGATAAGTGGTTATTCTAGAAGATTAAAGACATAGATTACTTTGGAGATAAAATTGGCAAATTTATGCATGACATAAGGAGGCAAGAGAGCACAACTCATATTTTAATTATGTTTTGCATTAACTTTTCTTTGGAGAAAATGTAAATTTGTTGGTGAATTGCAAACAGGAAAAGTGTTGACAAATGTAGACTGTTTCCTTTAGCAAGGGAGTAGGCTTGCTTAACTAAGCAGGTATTTAGTTTCTTAAATCTATATTTGTGTGACTTTTCATGTTTTAACTTTGAAAAGTTAAACTTTGAAAAATGATGCTGGGTGGTTGTATGTATTTTATGTGTTTCATTTTTAATAGCCAAAGCTCCCGGAAATGACTGGGTACAAATGAAAATGTTATCTAACATCTTTTGTTCTTAATCAGTCAGGTTTTCTTGAGATTAGTTTCGCACTGAGATTTAAATCATTATAGGCATTATCTCTTACTTGGACGTGATAAGCATTTAACTGACCCCTTCTGTACCATCAGGGTCCTTCCAGAAAAGAGATGAGGTGTCCTTGCGGAGCAGGAGTGACATGCTGATTTATGTATTAAGTGTCTGTCCTAATAATGCACAACAATCTAAAGCACTAAAATAACCCCCATTAAGTCTAGTTTTGGAGTTCTTCTGTAAATAAATCTGCTTTAATTAGGCTTTTGTGTATTATGAGCTAACTGAAGCTTCATGTATTCTTTTGCTCTGGTTTATATTTTATAGGCAGTGGAGATCATTAATACATCCCCTGAATACAATGAAATACAGAAGCTGTTTAAGAAGACTATGAAAAACTATACTGTCCATAGAATAAGGAGGATTCAGAATCCATCCCTCTGGAAAGTGTTTCAGTGGTTCGTATTTGTTCTGTCATCCCTAAGGGAAAGGAGTCTCGAAGGTACTTCTTAGGGGCAGTTTCAGAAGTGAAATTAAGTGGCTAAGTTCTATTAGCCTAACACCTTCCAGAAAATGCCATATTCGCTATGCAGTGGGGAGGCTGCCTTTTGCATGACTCCTTAGAAGGTGTAGCAGGGGTAAAACAGAAAACAGAAAGACATGAATAACACAGGACTGAATGAGGATGTACACAATGAAATGGAATAGTGTATTGCCCCTGTGACTGAACAGTAACTGCCTGCTGCACGTGCACTCTATTACAAATATGTATGCATTATAGTATATGAAATACTTATTTTTAAAAAAGAAGGGGGACAAGGTGCTTGGGCCCTCTTTTTTCCAGCCAGATCTTTTAAGGCTCCTTCACAGATTTAGGTACCTTGTTTACTGAAGCCATTATTTCCTGATATAATCCTCATGCTTTAAATCAATGATCTCTGAGTTCCAGAGCTCCTTTTGGGTTTTCAACATCTGTATCAGTGATGTTGAATTGCTAATACATGTGCCAAGCTGGTTACTAATAGATCTGAGCTGGCGCCAGTGCAATAAATGATGATGTTCAAGTTCATTTTGTAGCAGATGTAAACAATGAGCCATTGCTATTTCATAGCAGAGTTATATATTTTAACGCAAAAGCACAGCTTCTTAATAGGAATATTCAAACACTGTATGGAATGGTATTGAAGAGGAAAAATGCTTGTCAAAAAATACTTTAACCTGCAAAGTGGTTGAACCCACAGAGTCATTGTCTAATAACTTCACAAAACTTTTACATCTAGCAGAACTTAGATGTGTCAAAGCATATAACAGTGTGTGCTTTTCTGTCCCCTCCCCTTCCCCACCCCCTGCCCAAGACCTTTGAACTAACCAGACAGAAGTTAAAGTTGCTATTATGTTCTCAATGAACAAATTTCAGTCCATTGTTCTTAACTCTTCATTTATGCTTTTTTTTCAGTTTGGAGTGGTTCTCCCCTCTCCCTTGCTATGCTTACTTTGTAACCGGCCACTTCCTGAAGAATTTTATTGCCCACTTAAATAGCTTCTGAAAATCTGTGGGAGGTTTTGATGCTGTGAAGTAGTGATAGGACATACTAGTTGAATCTTCCCATTGTGTGGGAAGTACTCTTTTGGTACTGGTCATAGCTCATTGACAGAAGGGTCAGTTTCTCTCCTGCCTCTGTATCCTCAGCTGAAGTGGTCTCACTGAGGGGCCAGGAGCTCAGCACTGGTGAACGGTTACAACAGTAAAGATAATACAGGGTTGTTAGGAGTGCACACCCAAAGGCAGAAACCCCATCTCAGCACAGCACTGTCTACTCACAGGATGACTGGCCTCTGTGTGTGTGACAATTTTAGATCATTAGAGGAGTGAAGAACAACCTCCCTCTGCTCTTTCCCCATGGCTGAGGTGTGGAGGCTCTGCAGTTACCACCCCTCTACTCTGCAGACAGAGTTTGGGACAAGGGGGTGGGAAGGGACAAGAGACAGGAAAGCAGAATTAGTAGGACCCTGCAGGAGAAAAAAAGATTGATATGGGGGGTACTGTAGCAGTACTGATGCTTAATTCTAGCTGTCTTCAGTGAATTTATCTAGAATTGCTGGACAGTGGTATCAGTATATTGCTCATCTTGCAACTGTTTGTCATATTGCTTGTCTGCCTAAGGAGAGAGAGGAGAAAATAGACTGTAAGTCTCATCCAGCTGGTACTTACATGCACATTATATACTTAGGAACTTTTTTTTTTTTTTAACTCCACCCTTTTTCTCCCCACGACTTTCTTCCCCACTGCCTTTTTCTGTTAGGAAAAAGGAGCAGATGAAGAAGGAAAATGGAGGGAAGGAAGTAGATGAAAGGTTCCTGTTCCATGGAACGAAAAGCTCCTTCCTGGAAGCCATCTGCAATCACAACTTTGACTGGAGAGTTTGTGGAACCAATGGAACAACCTATGGAAAGGGTACGTAGGAAGTGGCTCTGGGTTTTAGACTTTAGGATCCCCTAAGGGTACATGATGAGCAGTCAATGTTTTGAAGGACCCTCTTTAAATATAGAGGGCAGGAATTGGTATTATGATTTTCATTCCACCTGGAGAGGACAGAAATTTGCCTTGTGAAAGGCGATGTCTTTTCTCAAGGTTCTGAGAGAATTAATCTAGGGATTTGAAAAAGCCTCTGTTGCTGTACGTGAGACCTCTTGAGGGCTCAAGGGACTAATTTGAACTTGCTAGAAAAATGGCTGCAAGCCTCAATGGCAGTGAGTGGGAAGCGCATGAATTCTCTCAATATGATTGTGGAAGATCCTCTTACTTGCTTCTCTATCCCTTTCATAATAACACACATACCTGCAGTGTTTTGGGTTTTGTTTGTTTGCTTTCAGTTATTCCTAAACTAGCAAGTTCTGAATAGAAATTCTGTGGCGAAACCCTTTGACTCTTGTAAAAAAAAATTCTATGGTAGTAAGTAGACTGAATAAGAGGAAACCTGAAATTTGGGTCAAATACCTTCTGAAAAATTAGGAACACCCCGTTTTCACTGTTGCTTTATATTCATTCCTTATACCATCTTTTCTTACCATTTTCTAGGAAGTTACTTTGCTAGAGATGCTTCCTATTCCCATGAATATTGTCAACCTGCAGTGAAACCAACCGTCATGTTTGTGGCTCGTGTATTGGTTGGAGATTATGTTCAAGGCAATTCAAGCTATGTTCGCCCCCCACCCAAGTCTGCCAATATGCTTCTGTTTTATGACAGCTGTGTGGACAATGTGTTAAATCCCTCCATTTTTGTCGTCTTTGAAAAATACCAGATTTACCCAGAGTATCTAATAGAGTATAACGAGGCAGAAAAAAAATGTATTATATCTTAGAGAAGGATGAGAGCAGTTTCTATCCCTCATCTTATTTTCCTTATTCCTCAGAGATTCTCATACTTAGTGACTTTTTTTTTAATGCACAATTTTGAATGTTTATCTGAAGAATTTTCATACTGAAGAAGGCTGGAAAACAGATGTCGTACTTAACAGACTTATCGCCTTGTCTTCTCCTCTTCCTTATCCAAATCTAATAGACATTTGGATAACCATAGCAGAAAAATCAGAATCATGGGATGGGAAAGTTGACTTTTGTGACGTTTGCAGGCAAATAATTTTAAATAGTTTCTTGGAAATAGGTAAAGAGGGTTTCTCTTTACAAACAGGTTCAATCAAAAGTGAAATCAGGACTAGGATAGTTTTTGAGCAAAGTCACAGCTTTTTAGTGTTTCTCAGGTTTCTGTAGTGTTTTGCAATGTTGAGGGCTTTGTAGAGTCTTGAAGATTCTTTTCAGAGCAAAATATTGTTCTTGACGCTCTCTTCTATCATAATTCTAAGCAAGCCGAAGTACTTAAAACTGATGTGACTTAGTTTTCAAAACGCTATTTGTTAGTGCCAATATTAGTTTCAAGTTTAAACCAAAAATAAAAAGCTTCTTTTAAACTCATGTTGTACGTTCAGATGGAACTTCCTGTGTTTCAGTTTGTGCCCATTGCCTCTTGTCCTGTCACTGGGCACCACGGAGAAGAGCCTGGCCCCATCCTCTTGACAACTTCCCTTTAAATATTTATACACATTGATGAGATCCCCTCTCAGTCTTCTCTTCTCCAGGCTCAACAGGCCCAGCTCTCGCAGCCTTTCTTCATACGAGAGACGCTCCAGTCCCCTCATCATCTTGGTAGCCCTCCGCTGGACTCTCTCCAGTAGGGCCATGTCTCTCTTGTACTGCGGAGCCCAGAACTGGACACAGTGCTCCAGGTGAGGCCTCCCCAGGGCTGAGCAGAGGGGCAGGATCACCTCCCTCCACCTGCTGGCAACACTCTGCCTAATGCACCCCAGGATACCGCTGGCCCTCCTGGCCACAAGGGCACACTGCTGGCTCAAGCTTAACCTGCCCACTAGGACTCCCAGCTCCTTCTCGGCAAAGCTACTTTCCAGCAGGTCAGCCCCCGGCCTGTCCTGGGGCACCTGGGGGTTCTTCCTCCCCAGGTGCAGGACCCTGCACTTGCCTTTGTTGAACTTCAGGAGGTTCCTCTCCGCCCACCTCTCCAGCCTGTCCAGCTA